GCCATGCTAAGCTATCCAGGGTGGGAAAGTCCAGCATACACAACTGTTTGCTATGCTAAGCTATCCAGGGTGGGAAGGTCCAGCATACACAACTGTTTGCTATGCTAAGCTATCCAGGGTGGGAAGGTCCAGCATACACAACTGTTTGCTATGCTAAGCTATCCAGGGTGGGAAGGTCCAGCATACACAACTGTTTGCCATGCTAAGCTATCCAGGGTGGGAAGGTCCAGCATACACAACTGTTTGCTATGCTAAGCTATCCAGGGCGGGAAGGTCCAGCATACACAACTGTTTGCTATGCTAAGCTATCCAGGGTGGGAAGGTCCAGCATACACAACTGTTTGCTATGCTAAGCTATCCAGGGTGGGAAGGTCCAGCATACACAACTGTTTGCTATGCTAAGCTATCCAGGGTGGGAAGGTCCAGCATACACAACTGTTTGCTATGCTAAGCTATCCAGGGTGGGAAGGTCCAGCATACACAACTGTTTGCTATGCTAAGCTATCCAGGGTGGGAAGGTCCAGCATACACAACTGTTTGCTATGCTAAGCTATCCAGGGTGGGAAGGTCCAGCATACACAACTGTTTGCTATGCTAAGCTATCCAGGGTGGGAAGGTCCAGCATACACAACTGTTTGCTATGCTAAGCTATCCAGGGTGGGAAGGTCCAGCATACACAACTGTTTGCTATGCTAAGCTATCCAGGGTGGGAAGGTCCAGCATACACAACTGTTTGCTATGCTAAGCTATCCAGGGTGGGAAGGTCCAGCATACACAACTGTTTGCTATGCTAAGCTATCCAGGGTGGGAAGGTCCAGCATACACAACTGTTTGCTATGCTAAGCTATCCAGGGTGGGAAGGTCCAGCATACACAACTGTTTGCCATGCTAAGCTATCCAGGGTGGGAAGGTCCAGCATACACAACTGTTTGCTATGCTAAGCTATCCAGGGCGGGAAGGTCCAGCATACACAACTGTTTGCCATGCTAAGCTATCCAGGGTGGGAAGGTCCAGCATGCACAACTGTTTGCTATGCTAAGCTATCCAGGGTGGGAAGGTCCAGCATACACAACTGTTTGCTATGCTAACCTATCCAGGGCGGGAAGGTCCAGCATACACAACTGTTTGCTATGCTAAGCTATCCAGGGTGGGAAGGTCCAGCATACACAACTGTTTGCTATGCTAAGCTATCCAGGGTGGGAAGGTCCAGCATACACAGCTGTTTGCCATGCTAAGCTATCCAGGGTGGGAAGGTCCAGCATACACAACTGTTTGCCATGCTAAGCTATCCAGGGTGGGAAGGTCCAGCATACACAACTGTTTGCTATGCTAAGCTATCCAGGGTGGGAAGGTCCAGCATACACAACTGTTTGCTATGCTAAGCTATCCAGGGTGGGAAGGTCCAGCATACACAACTGTTTGCTATGTTAAGCTATCCAGGGTGGGAAGGTCCAGCATACACAACTGTTTGCTATGCTAAGCTATCTAGGGTGGGAAGGTCCAGCATACACAACTGTTTGCTATGCTAAGCTATCCAGGGTGGGAAGGTCCAGCATACACAACTGTTTGCTATGCTAAGCTATCCAGGGTGGGAAGGTCCAGCATACACAACTGTTTGCTATGCTAAGCTATCCAGGGTGGGAAGGTCCAGCATACACAACTGTTTGCCATGCTAAGCTATCCAGGGTGGGAAGGTCCAGCATACACAACTGTTTGCTATGCTAAGCTATCCAGGGTGGGAAGGTCCAGCATACACAACTGTTTGCTATGCTAAGCTATCCAGGGTGGGAAGGTCCAGCATACACAACTGTTTGCTATGCTAAGTTATCCAGGGTGGGAAGGTCCAGCATACACAACTGTTTGCCATGATAAGCTATCCAGGGTGGGAAGGTCCAGCATACACAACTGTTTGCTATGCTAAGCTATCCAGGGTGGGAAGGTCCAGCATACACAACTGTTTGCTATGCTAAGTTATCCAGGATGGGAAGGTCCAGCATACACAACTGTTTGCCATGCTAAGCTATCCAGGGTGGGAAGGTCCAGCATACACAACTGTTTGCTATGCTAAGCTATCCAGGGTGGGAAGGTCCAGCATACACAACTGTTTGCTATGCTAAGCTATCCAGGGTGGGAAGGTGCAGCATACACAACTGTTTGCTATGCTAAGCTATCCAGGGTGGGAAGGTCCAGCATACACAACTGTTTGCCATGCTAAGCTATCCAGGGTGGGAAGGTCCAGCATACACAACTGTTTGCTATGCTAAGCTATCCAGGGCGGGAAGGTCCAGCATACACAACTGTTTGCCATGCTAAGCTATCCAGGGTGGGAAGGTCCAGCATGCACAACTGTTTGCTATGCTAAGCTATCCAGGGTGGGAAGGTCCAGCATACACAACTGTTTGCTATGCTAAGCTATCCAGGGCGGGAAGGTCCAGCATACACAACTGTTTGCTATGCTAAGCTATCCAGGGTGGGAAGGTCCAGCATACACAACTGTTTGCTATGCTAAGCTATCCAGGGTGGGAAGGTCCAGCATACACAACTGTTTGCCATGCTAAGCTATCCAGGGTAGGAAGGTCCAGCATACACAACTGTTTGCTATGCTAAGCTATCCAGGGTGGGAAGGTCCAGCATACACAACTGTTTGCTATGCTAAGCTATCCAGGGTGGGAAGGTCCAGCATACACAACTGTTTGCTATGCTAAGCTATCCAGGATGGGAAGGTCCAGCATACACAACTGTTTTCCATGCTAAGCTATCCAGGGTGGGAAGGTCCAGCATACACAACTGTTTGCTATGCTAAGCTATCCAGGGTGGGAAGGTCCAGCATACACAACTGTTTGCCATGCTAAGCTCTCCAGGGTGGGAAGGTCCAGCATACACAACTGTTTGCTATGCTAAGCTATCCAGGGTGGGAAGGTCCAGCATACACAACTGTTTGCTATGCTAAGCTATCCAGGGTGGGAAGGTCCAGCATACACAACTGTTTGCTATGCTAAGCTATCCAGGGTGGGAAGGTCCAGCATACACAACTGTTTGCTATGCTAAGCTATCCAGGGTGGGAAGGTCCAGCATACACAACTGTTTGCTATGCTAAGCTATCCAGGGTGGGAAGGTCCAGCATACACAACTGTTTGCTATGCTAAGCTATCCAGGGTGGGAAGGTCCAGCATACACAACTGTTTGCTATGCTAAGCTATCCTGGGTGGGAAGGTCCAGCATACACAACTGTTTGCTATGCTAAGCTATCCAGGGTGGGAAGGTCCAGCATACACAACTGTTTGCTATGCTAAGCTATCCAGGGTGGGAAGGTCCAGCATACACAACTGTTTGCTATGCTAAGCTATCCAGGGTGGGAAGGTCCAGCATACACAACTGTTTGCTATGCTAAGCTATCCAGGGTGGGAAGGTCCAGCATACACAACTGTTTGCTATGCTAAGCTATCCAGGGTGGGAAGGTCCAGCATACACAACTGTTTGCTATGCTAAGCTATCCAGGGTGGGAAGGTCCAGCATACACAACTGTTTGCTATGTTAAGCTATCCAGGGTGGGAAGGTCCAGCATACACAACTCTTTGCTATGCTAAGCTATCTAGGGTGGGAAGGTCCAGCATACACAACTGTTTGCTATGCTAAGCTATCCAGGGTGGGAAGGTCCAGCATACACAACTGTTTGCTATGCTAAGCTATCTAGGGTGGGAAGGTCCAGCATACACAACTGTTTGCTATGCTAAGCTATCCAGGGTGGGAAGGTCCAGCATACACAACTGTTTGCCATGCTAAGCTATCCAGGGTGGGAAGGTCCAGCATACACAACTGTTTGCTATGCTAAGCTATCCAGGGTGGGAAGGTCCAGCATACACAACTGTTTGCTATGCTAAGCTATCCAGGGTGGGAAGGTCCAGCATACACAACTGTTTGCTATGCTAAGCTATCCAGGGTGGGAAGGTCCAGCATACACAACTGTTTGCTATGCTAAGCTATCCAGGGTGGGAAGGTCCAGCATACACAACTGTTTGCTATGCTAAGCTATCCAGGGTGGGAAGGTCCAGCATACACAACTGTTTGCTATGCTAAGCTATCCAGGGCGGGAAGGTCCAGCATACACAACTGTTTGCTATGCTAAGCTATCCAGGGTGGGAAGGTCCAGCATACACAACTGTTTGCTATGCTAAGCTATCCAGGGTGGGAAGGTCCAGCATACACAACTGTTTGCTATGCTAAGCTATTCAGGGTGGGAAGGTCCAGCATACACAACTGTTTGCTATGCTAAGCTATCCAGGATGGGAAGGTCCAGCATACACAACTGTTTTCCATGCTAAGCTATCCAGGGTGGGAAGGTCCAGCATACACAACTGTTTGCTATGCTAAGCTATCCAGGGTGGGAAGGTCCAGCATACACAACTGTTTGCCATGTAAGCTCTCCAGGGTGGGAAGGTCCAGCATACACAACTGTTTGCTATGCTAAGCTATCCAGGGTGGGAAGGTCCAGCATACACAACTGTTTGCTATGCTAAGCTATCCAGGGTGGGAAGGTCCAGCATACACAACTGTTTGCTATGCTAAGCTATCCAGGGTGGGAAGGTCCAGCATACACAACTGTTTGCTATGCTAAGCTATCCAGGGTGGGAAGGTCCAGCATACACAACTGTTTGCTATGCTAAGCTATCCAGGGTGGGAAGGTCCAGCATACACAACTGTTTGCTATGCTAAGTTATCCAGGGTGGGAAGGTCCAGCATACACAACTGTTTGCCTATGCTAAGCTATCCAGGGTGGGAAGGTCCAGCATACACAACTGTTTGCTATGCTAAGCTATCCAGAATGGGAAGGTCCAGCATACACAACTGTTTGCTATGCTAAGCTATCCAGGGTGGGAAGGTCCAGCATACACAACTGTTTGCTATGCTAAGCTGTTGATAAACAACATAGCACCAAAATACTAAGCAAATAACTTAATAGTCTGTTTCTGAATCGTTTTTACATGCTGTTTTTATTGTAGGACTTCAGGCTCCTTTGCTAGTTCGTCATCCAGAAACTGGAGACTTATTGATCAACTTTGACCCAATGATATACCAAGTTATCAGAGAAACAGACTGCCTTATGAAATTAGGATTAGATGTCCCAGAGACAGCAAAAATAATCAAACTTAGTGAAGATATATTAAAGAGTACCTACGACAAATTAAGGGTAGATATCAGATTCCTTACAAATTGCAATACCATATTTGCCCTTTTAGAAGTGCATCTTCTATAAGTTTTTTGAGTTGTTTTTGAAATGAAATGTTTGTATCATTAAGATACACTAACAAATGACTTGTGCTGTTTATTCCAGTGTAATCATAGCTAATTACAGATCAACAATTTTTTATCAAAAATAATATCATATTTGTGATCAAATGTACAAGTGTCAAAATGCCAAAAAAAATAACATAACAAAAAGCTCCAATATAAGCACTCCCAAAACGTAGACATAAGCTTATAAACTCTCAATCTCCCAGCCTTGTGTTAGATTATGCAGCATTATTGATTAGATTTTCAGAGCTGTAAATGGTTTGGTGGAAAGTGATTTGCAAATGTAAGTAATAATTATGTTCATATGGTAATATGATTTCTTTTTTTCCAGATGGTTCTGGACGAAAATAGTAAATTACGAGACAGTGTCTTACCAATCTTCATGCCTTTAATGACTAATTTTATCAAGAGAATTGACATAGCATTGAATCCAGCTTTAACATTACTGTCATGGACTTCATTAAATTTAGATTCATACTTCGCAAATGTGCAGTCCGCTATGAGAGAATTGTCTTTACTTAATAAACGTGTAAGTATAATTTTAGTTTGTTTTAGTCAACTTTCCGTTGTGTGCAATTATGCACTTTGGGTTGGCTGTATTTTATGGTCATCCAGGTATAACTGTCACTCAGCAGGAAAATACACCATGACTGAAATGGTGTAAATCCCAATTAGAAATCCCTAGTTGCATACATGTACTCTTGTGCTTAATGGCAGTTAGTATTAGGCAGGTACATGTACTTGGTCTCTGCTCTGTGACTGACAGCGTGGTGGAGGGCATGGTGTAATTCAGGCGTTGGCGTTTAGTGTTGGGCTTGCTAGTTTTAAAGTTATTTTCCTGGAGAGAGATGAAAAGTTTGTATTCACTGAGAACGGTCAAAATTTGCAGACACCACAATTCAAACTATTGTTGGAATCCCTACAAGCCACACAGATTTCAAAATAGTTGTAGTCCTGCATACTAGACTCACAAAGGATGGCCATTTATTTGGTGTGCTGTGAAGGCAGGACAATTTCTTCAACAAAATTGTCATTCATCATAAGTGGTTTCAATGATGTTTCCCAAATCAAAATACATTAGAGACGCTTTGTCAGCAAGGAAACCCCTGCATTGACGTATTTGCATAACTTAAATGAACTGTCAGAACTAGGCTAAGTCAAAGAAGCGATAGACAGAGAATGAGTTGGGAAACAACGCCTGCCGTGCGTGTCGAGCCAGCTAGCCAATACCCTCAATCTGTAATGCCGCAATATATAGTGTCAAGGTGTTAGCCACGCTAGCTAAGATAATCACACGTTGAGCTTAAAAACAATCAAGCATTGGCGCCGGTAATCTTTTCCTGCCTTGGCATTGGCTTGAAATTGTCTATACCAATAAACAAGCTGGTTGCTATACAGCTGGTAGTGAGGGGAAAGATTACATTGCTTAATCTGCTTCTCAAGGTTACGTATAAAAGATGACACATTTAAAACTGTGTTAAACATAAATACATAACTTAAATGAACTGTCAAAACTAGGCTAAGTCAAAGAAGCGATAGACAGAGCATAAGGTTGGGCAGTCAGGTACTGCTGATGATAATTAGTCCCCATTCGGACGAAGTCCGAAAATGGAGACTTATAATTCAGTGTCCGTCCGTGCGTTCGTCAGGAGTCATATCTCAGAATCCCTTTGACCGATTCTGTTCATTCTTTGCATGTGCCTAGTTCTTTATGTGGGACATATGCACATGCAGTGGTTTAGCAATTCAATTCAAAATGGCCGACTGGCAGCCATCTTGTTTTTTGAAAATGTTGTATTTTGAACATGTTTTGTCAGTTGTCATTCAAACTTGGTACATAGATTATACATGTTAGGATACATGTCCATGACGATTTATTTCGCAATTGGATCAAAGATGGTCGACTGGCAGGCATTTTTTTTTTTTTTATGCGGTATCTTGGACGTGCTCTGTCAGTTTTCATTAA